GAGCCTGTAGCAGACGTGGCACCAGGTTCCCAACTTCCTCCAGGCACCTCCGTGTGCACAGACCCGAGCCGCGCCGCAGGCGCCATATTGCCTCCTCCTCCCCTCCGCCGACCCTACCCGCGGCTGCCCAGAGAGACAATACAGCCACCAGCCAGAGGCACCTCCAGGGAACGGGACCTTCCCGTTTGGACCCGCCCGCCCTCCCAGGTGCTGCTGGCACCGTGTTCCCAGGAAAACGGTGCTCGACTCAGAGGCTAAGAACATAGACCAGCTTGGCTCCCTGTGGGTGAATTAGGACCGGAAATTCTCTCCCTGGTGGGAATCAGTTTGAACTCTGGGACCCAGAGTCGGACCTGCGGACCAGATCCCTGCACCGAGGGCTAGCATTGCCGGGCACAGAAGGGTTATACGTGAACAGCCTACTGAGGTGTGTGTGCCTCCAGGGCGGATCGGCGTCCTAGAGGGCAACCCTCCTCCAGGAGGAGCCGTGCGCCCAACCAGGTGGCGTTCCTGTGCAGGGAACCTCCCGCCGCATCACAGTCCGGGAGGCCTGGTGGCTTGTGGTCTGGCCGCTGGCAACCAGGAGTAGCTGCGGAGTTGGAGGTGGGAAAGAGCGAGCCCGCTCCAGACGCGTCTCAGACAGCCCTACCCCCACAGCAGACTTTCTGGCTGAGGGCGGCCATTCCAGCAAAAAAAAAAAAAAAAAAGGAAAAGAAGAAAGATCACTAAAGTCACATGAACTTGAAAAGTATTTGGGCTAGTTATTTAATTTATGACTATTCATTTATCTGTAAGTTAATCTGGTACCATGCGCAGACAATATATAAACATGTATACACATACATATATGTAGAACACAGCGTATAACATACATATTCACACACGTATAAATCTAAAAGCCAAAGAGATCAAGGTGTTTCTGCTAAAGAGAGTAGAGCATTAGACTTGAGAGGAATCTGTCCACTTACAACTCTCAAGATTCCAGAAGGAAAAACAGAGTTTTCTCCCCCAAAGAGAAATCTGTGGTACCTTTTCTGTTTTCCTTGAGGGATCCTAGGTTGTTAGAAAAAAAAATGTTTTTATCAAGTAGAGTCCAGTGGATGGTAATAAAGAAAAACAAGAAAAAATAAAGATAAAAATGCAAAAAATAAAAATAAAATTTTTTTTTAGGCAAGAGGAAGGAGGAACTGCCAGAAGTAAATGGAAATCAGACAGAGTACATATAGTGAATAGGGGTTTAAGAAGAGAGGAATTCAGCCAGGTGCAGTGGCTCACGCCTGTAATTCTAGCACTCTGAGAGGCCGAGGCGGGGGGATCACTCAAGCTCAGGAGTTCTAAACCAGCCTGAGCAAGAGTAAGACCCTGTCTCTACTAAAAATAGAAAGAAATTAATTGGCCAACTAAAAATATATAGAAAAATTAACCAGGCATGGAGGTGCATGCCTATAGTCCCAGCTACTCTGGAGGCTAAGGCAGTGGGATTGCCTGAGCCCAGGAGTTTGAGGTTGCTGTGAGCTAGGCTGATGCCACGCCACTCTAACCCAGGCAACAGAGTGAGACTCTGTCTCAAAAAAAAAAAACAAAAACAAAACAAACCTATATATACATACATATATATATGTATATATACACATACACACACATATATAGCTAAATATGAGTTTAAAGTAAGTCAACTTTTATCTATTTATTTATTTTTGGAGACAGAGTCTCACTCTGCCTCCCTGGATAGAGTGCAGTGGCATCATTGTAGCTCACTGCAATCTCAACCTACTGGGCTCAAATGATCCTCCTGTCTCAGCCTCAGGAGTAGCTGGGACTATAAGCACATACCACCATGCCTGGCTAATTTTTCTGTTTTTTTTGTAAAGACAAGGTCTTGCTATTGTCCAGGCTGCTCTCCAACTCTTGCCTCAAGCAATCCTCCCACTTTGGCCTATCTAAGTGATAGGATTACAGTTGTGAGCCACCACACCCACCCTAAATCAACTTTTGATATAGGGCTCTTTTAAAAAGATCCTTTTACATTTCTTATTATCAGATTTTAGCCAGGGCAAAACAGCCCAATTTTCTGGAATTTGAATTTTTTTTTTTCTTTTCTTTTGTGTTTTTTTTTGACGACAGAGTCTCACTCTGTTGCCCAGACTATGAAGTGGTGCCTGTGGCATCAGCCTGGCTCACAGCAACCTCAATCTCCTGGGGCTGTAAGCAATCATCCCTGCCCTCAGCTCGCCAACGTAGCTGGGACTTACAGGCATGAGCGCCACCAGTGCCCGCTAATTTTTTCCTATATAGTATCTTTTAGTTGGTCATTAATTTCTTTCTATTTATTGGTAGAGACGGGGTCTTGCGCTCTTCTCCCAGGCTCGGCTTTTTGCAACTTCCTGACCTTGAGCGACTCCCTCATCGCCTCAGGCCTCCAGCAGGTGCTAGTTACACGTGTGAGCCACCACCCCCCGCGCTTCAATATCTCAGTTTTTAACTCTCAAATTTTACTGCAGATAACTGAAGGTTTTTTAGTTTCTGCAGAGTAAGACTTCCTTTTTGTTTCCCTAAAGCTAGACCCTTTGATCAGAAATTGAGAATGGAACCAAAAAAAAGTAGGCAATCAAAGGCAAGGAAATATGTTCCAGATAAACAGTGAATAAGGCTGGTCCGGTGGTTGGCTCCACGCCTGTACATCCTAGCAAAACTCCCTGGGAGGCTGAGGCGGGCAAGATATGCTCGAGATCCCTAGGAGTCCCAAAAACCAGCCTGAGCAAGAGCGATACCGGTCTCTACTAAAAATAGACAAGAAACAATTGGACCAAACTAAAATATATATGACATATAACAGATTAGCCGGACCATGGTGGCGCATGCCTGGAGGTCTGACTCTGTCGGAGGGATGCAGCAGGAGATAGTGCTTGGAGCCCCAGGAGTTTGAGAGGTTCTGTGAGCCTAGGCCTGAGTGCCAAGGGGACTTCTAGCCCCTGGGTACAGAGATTGAGACCTCCGTCTTCAGGAAAACCTAAACAAAAACGTGAATTAGGTGAAAGAGAGGATGTTCGTGTAGAAATGGGCTTGAGTGACAGAAAATAAGCTATACCAGTGCTTGGACAACCTGGACTTATAACCAAGAAATATAAGGAGAAGAACTAGAGATGGAAAGATATGAGCTCATGTCTCAAGTATAAATCTTCCCCCAATAACTCACTGGTTTCTCAGAATACTGAAGTTAGAGAAAGCAAATTTATTTGTCCAATGTTAGTATATTTACTACCCTAGCATGTAGGTGAGAATTTTGCCCACCAGTACATCATCATTATCATCATGTTCTTCAAGATGAATCTCCTAAGTCCAGACAATGTTGGTCTGAAATCCTCAGAAAACTCCCTCCACAAACTGTAGACTCTGAAGGAACAAAGTGGGTGGTCGGAGTGCAGTGGTGTGTACAACTAGTTGATCACCACCAGTTACTTAATCCTTTGTTCTTTCTCCACTCCCACTGCTCTTCCCTTGACTAGCCAAATATATTTATATATAATCTCAAGGAGCAAAGTGCTAAGTGCCCTTGCAGGAGTGAAGGGAAAACTTTCCCTTCCCTCTCTGAAGTTTCACTGAAAAATTAATTGACAAAAGGCAGATTAACAAGAGAAAAGGCAAATAAAATTGTGTTAATGCACACTGGGGAAAACCACAGAGTGATTACCCAATACTGGAGTATGTTACAGAAGCTCATATACCCTTTTCCATATGTTAGTGGGGAGATGGGGAACGTAGACAATTCTTTTGAGGGTCAGTAAATCAATAGGAAGAATGAATGGACAGAAATTAATTTGTAAATGATTCTCCTTGGAATTTGAATAAGTCTAAAGGAGCCATCATTATCTTGTGAAAAGGTCCGTCCAGGTGTGGTTACATTCCTCAGTCTTCTTTTCTGAATACAGATAGATAATGAGATTTCAGGGATGGGGGATGAGAATAAATTGTTCTCCTGGGTAGGTCTAGTCTTTATGTAGGTAAGGTGAAAGCCTCTTCCAACATCTGCTGATCTCTAAAAGCCTTTAATTCAAAATACTAAGTGTGCTAGGGTACCATATTTGGGGGTAAAATTTCCTGAGTTCCTTCACCCTCTTTTGGAAATGGTGAATTTCTTCATCAAGTGCAGGCTCATTCGTGATTCAGCTATAGCAATATTAACACGTGTGCATTAATATCAATGTTGCTTGTAGGCCAGATGTGATGGCTCATGCTTGTAATCAATCCTAGCACTCTGGGAGGCTGAGGCGGGAGGATTACTTGAGCTCAGGAGTTCAAGACCAGCCTGAGTAAGAGCGAGACCCTGTGCCTACTATAAATAGAAAGAAATTAGCCAAACAACTAAAAATAGAAAAAAATTAGCTGGGCATGGTAGCATGTGCCTGTAGTCCCAGCTACTTGAGAGGCTGAGGCAGGAGGATCACTTGAGCCCAGGAGTTTGAGGTTGCTGTGAGCTAGGCTGATACTACGACACTCTAGCCCAGGCAACACAGTGAGACTCTGTCTCAATAAATAAAAACAACAACAAAAAGAGTGCTTGTAACTAACAACCTTAAATTGAATCCAGAAGATCAAGGGCTCAACTAGTAAAGTAGTGAGGAAGAAAAGATATGGGATTCAGATTAGAGCCCCACCTCTACCTTGTCCTAACTGTTCTCTGTGCTATAGCTTCTTCATCTCTGAAATAAGGACAATTATTTCTTCTTCATAGGGTTGTTTTGATGAGTGAGAGAGAGAACTAAGAAAAGCATCTGTTACAAAGGAGGTTCTTGTGTTGGTCCCTTTAACTTGTGGCCGCATACCATACCTCATTGAACAACAAAAAATCCCTGGGATAGCAAGAAAATTTTAGGTCTGGCTTTAATTTGCAAAGTTTTGCATCACAGTATGATTTAATATACATTAATTGCCCTCAGGGAACTCCTGGATCAGAACGTAAATGAGTTACACAGGCAAGTGAGAACCTTACAAGATAAAGAAAATCTACTGGAGATAACCTGTTCTCAGCAGCAATCCAGGATTCAGCAACAAGAGACCCTCCTTACACAACTGGAAAATGAGAAAAGAAAATATGATGAGGTAAGAAAGTAAATAGAGATGCTTCTCAGTCTTCCTTTTGTCATAAACCTGAGTAATAGGGAATTATTATTACTGTTAATCATTGAGTGATTACCACTTTGCATAAAAAGTTTAGCCAGGGTTCGGTCAGGAAAACAGAATCTACCCTAGGTATTTCAAACAATAACAGATTTAACACATTGAATTCGATGCTTACAAAACAGAGGGAAGGGACTGAGGGAGAGTAGAAAGTCAGGATTTCTGCTGGCTTTGAATAAATCCGTAAGATCAGAAATCACAGAGAAGCCACCTCCTGCAACACCAAAGTGAGGAATTTGCAGGAATTCTCCCAGAGGTCTCTACAAATGTCTCATTTTCTGTCTGTCCTTTCATCTATCTGCTAGTGGCAGAGGAGAACTGTTAGGGGAAACAAACAAATCTGTTTTTTCTTTCTATGTTGATACCACTCTCAGAGTGCTACTTTGTTGCCCAGGCTAGAGTGAGTACCGTGGTGTCAGCCTAGCTCACAGCAACCTCAAACTCCTGGGCTCAAGCAATCCTGCTGCCTCAGCCTCCCAAGTGATTGGGACTACAGGCATGTGCCACCATGCCCGGCTAATTTTTACTATATATATTAGTCGGCCAATTAATTTCTTTCTATTTATAGTAGAGACAGGATCTCACTCTTGCTCAGGCTGGTTTCGAACGCCTGACCTTGAGCAATCCGCCCACCTCGGCCTCCCAGAGTGCTAGGATTACAGGTGTGAGCCACTGCGGCCGGCCAAATACTTCACTTCTGATACCAGTTGTGTGGGGTTTTGCCCCACTTTAAGCAAGTCTCCAATTCTCTGTGATACCAACTGGGTGTACTGTGAACTAAAATAAAATCTTAAGCCCCCCAGCTGACTGAAGGGACCCCCTCTTGGCCAATGGAACACCAGAAAAACCTTAAAGTTGAGTTGCCAGCGAGGAGCAGAAGGGAGGTCAGACACGCCTAGTTATGCCCTCTCCCTTTTGGAGTTACTCTTTGTAATAATAAGACACTAAATCATTAGGACCTTAGGACTTAGGCTTAGGACCTAAGGCCATGTAAGACAAAGGTTAAACCACACCTGCAGGTCATCAATTTACTTAACAGACCACTTGAGTCTGGTATATGTCCTATAGCTTGTCTCTGATTAACAAACTTCATTATCTTAACTTAAAAATGTATAAAACCAAACTGTAATCTAACTATGGCGGGACCACTTGCTTAAGGCCTCCTGGGTATGGCTCTCCAGACCCAGAATAAACCTCTAAATTATTTTAAATTCTTTTCCATTGACAACCCAAAGACTGAAGTCCATTCTGACATTATCTACCTAGACATAGCACCAGATGATGGCTATCTGAGTAAGGACTCAGTCAGACAAGATTGCTCCCATTCCAGATGCCAACTGCAAGTCCAGGTTTTTGCCAGTGCTTCTGACCAACCAGCTATAAAACAGATGTTCCCACATTTCCCCCCTGGAGTTTGATCATTTGCTAGCATGGCTCATAGAACTCAGGAAACAGTTTATTTACTGGATTACAGGTTTATTATCAAAGGAGCCAACTCAGGAACAGCCAGATGGAAGAGATGCACAGGGCAAAGTATGTATGAAGGGATGTGGAGCTTCCTTCCCCTCTCTGAACGCACCACCCTCCCACCACCTCCACATATTCAACAGCCTGGGGGTTCTCCAAACTCTGTCCTTTTGGGGTTTTGTGAAGACTTAATTATGTAAGCATGATTGATTTAGTCATTGGCTCTTACTGATTAACTCAACCTTTAACCGTCTCCCCTCCCAGGAATTCTGGGTGAGCCTGAAAGTTCCAACTCTCTAGTCACATCCCAAGAACCCCCAGCAACCAGCCCACAAGCCCCTGGCTATCCAGGAGCTCCCAGCCACCCATTTGCTCATTAGCATACAGAAAGACACTTACCACTTCAGAGATTCCAAGGTTTTAGGAGCAGTGTGCCAGAACAAAGACCAAAATATATATATATATATATATATATATATATATATATATATATATATATATATATATATATTTATTTATTAATTATAAACCACAAGAACAATGGCTTTTACTTCACACAGGGTTTCCAAATTGTGTGCAAGTTCCTCATTTGTGGGAACTAAACTTGAACCCTGCTAGCAGGGGAGTCTGGGAAATGTAGTTTCAGACTTCCAACTTGCTGTAGGCTCCCAAAAGGTTCATTGAAAAATCACTGACATGAGGCAGAATGATTAACTGGAGAAAAAGATACTACTTTACCGTGTATACACAAGAGCCTTCAGAATGAAAATTCAACTCTGAAATGGGGTTTAGAAGCGTATATGCCTTTCTGGTAAAATAAGTTATGGGGATGGTGGGGAAAGGGATTCTGTTGATTGGCAATAAAAGATTACTAGGGAGCATGAATGGATGGAGAACAAAGAGTAACTAGCAAATAGTTCTCTGTGGAATTTGAATTAGTCTGAGAGGCAGGACATTATCTTCTTAAAGAGTATATTCAGGTGTAGTCACATACCTGGTCTTACAGGGAGGAGAGGAAAAGAACAGTTGTCCTACTAGGTGGGTCTGGATCTTTAGGCATATAAAAAAACTTTAATTTTTTCGGGGAGTGCCCCTTGGTAGGATAGAGGGGAAGGTCAAAGAGACCTTGAGGCTTTTTCAGTCAGTGCAGCATGTCAAAATGTCATATATTGCAGCAAAATATTTCTAATTTTCTGCAGTGCACACTTTGAAACTAAAAAGTTTCATATATTAAAAGCAAAGCTGGTAACTTTGGAGAAATTTGAGTTAGAGGTTGTTAGAGATATACAAAGGAGTAAAAAAAAAATGGGATCAATGGAAAAGAGCAAATTTAAACATATTGTTCCATGTCTTCTTTAGTCAGTCTTTTAGTCCTATGAATAGATCAGTTTTGTTAAACAGCTTTATCGCATCCTAGAAGCTGGCATTGCAGATGAGCTTTCAAACAGAAGAAAAACAAAGTTAATATTTGTTTTTGTTTTTTTTTTTCATTTTTTTTTTCTATGCAATGAAACGTAGAAAAAGTTAATATTTGTGACTGTTCATAGAGTTTGGAGGGCGTCCTGCTGAGGTGTCTAGATGTTAAACTCAAATCATCTTCAGTTAAAGTGGAAATAGGCAGTGGCAATCTGACCTATTTTTCTTGCCTGGAGTTTGTATGTCACAAAGTATACCTGCAGGGCCTCAGGAAAAGGTAGTGGCAATTTCTCTGAGTCCCAGTCATAAAAATGGAAGAAAAGGGAGGGGGGCGGGTATATACATATATAATGAGTGAGATGTGCACCATCTGGGGGATGGTCATGCTGGATATTCTGACTTGTGGGGGGAGGGGGGAAATGGGCATTTATTGAAACCTTAAAATCTGTACCCCCATAATATACTGAAATAAAAAAAAAATGGAAGAAAAATTTGAAAACATTATTTGGAGACTCGTAGCCAGGAAAAAATTCAGGATTCAGGCTAGAATCTAATAATGGGTGGGTTTACTATAATTTCTTCTGAAATATAATTTTCTGTCTACAATTTCTCTTTTCTACTAAAGACAAATCATAGTAGGACCAATTTATTTGCAAAATAAATTTTAGTTTCATTATATTTGGCCTGGTTATTTGCATACAGTGCAACAAGAATGGTTACTGACCACATCAGCTTTCCTTTTTTTTAATTGGCTTTGCTGGAACTTTTTCATAAGGAATCTCAGGTTAGACTTAAAAGCTTGTCGAGCCAAGCCAAGGATTTAACTGTGCCTGTCAGTACCAGTATGAATTGGGTAAATTCCTCTTTTATGGAGGTCCCAAGGTAACTTGGGGTTCCTGGACCTGTCAGAAAGTGACATTCTTTGCTTACCACAGGTCTCAAAATGTCATAGATGAGGTACCATATCAGTTTGTTTTTTTTAAAAAAAAGGGCTTTTTATTGGCTCTGTAAGTCAACCTTAATCCCTCAAAGCAGTCTAGGTATAACAGGAGAAATGGCTTGAAAAAGGGTAAAAATATTTTCTGTCTCTCTTAAACCTCCCTTGCTCCTTTGGGAATTAAAACCTGCATCCCTGACTAAGGCCATTGGTCAGAAGGGGCCAAAGAGTGTCCTTTACTCTTTGTACAATAGGACATGGCTCAAGGGAATTGTCTAGGTGGAACTCATGAGATTGTCTTAGCCAAAGCTGGGATGAATCAGAACCATCAACTATAGTTGAACAGCAATAGCCTGAAGCTGATAACCCTCCATTTATTGACTGATTGATTGATTGAGACAGAGTCTCACTCTGTTGCCTGGGCTAGAGTGCTATGGCATCAGCCTAGCTGACAGCAACCTCAAACTCCTGAGGCTCAAGCGATCCTCAGTCTCCTGAGTAGCTGGGACTACAGGCATGTGCCACCATGCCTGGCTAATTTTTTCTATATATTTTTAGTTGGCCAATTAATTTATTTATATTTTTAGCAGAGACAGGGTCTCACTTTTGCTCAGGCTGATTTCGAACTCCTGACCTCGAGTGATCTGCCCGCCTTGGCCTCCCAGAGTGCTAGGATTACAGGAGTGAGCTACTGCGCCCAGCCTAACCCTCCCTTTAAAAGCTCTGTATACCTGTTCAGAAACAGGATGTTGGTACTTTGACACAGGAGTCTGTCAACCTCCTCATTTTCCTACAAATTAGTGAACTTCCCTTTCCATCTCCTCAAACCATTTGTCCTTGTTCTTCTGATGTGGCCTCGGGGACAAGTGCAGAGTTTTTGGTAACATAGGCCTTTCTGAAAATATGCCAATCCAGTCAAAGCCTTGGTAAAATAACTAGTGTCTCCAATTCTGTCATATTGTAAAAGAAGATAAATTTTCATTGAACTTACACAGATAACTATATTGTCATAAAATAACAATAACAATAAACAATAAAATAACAATACTTATATATAGTTTACAAATTCTAGAAAAAGCAGAGAGAAAAAAAATTCTTCAAA